ACATCACCCATTATGACAAAGAAATATTAATTAATGTAAAACACCCATCTATTTCGTTGGATTATGATATATAAACGTATTTAAATGAACACTTGCTGCTCATTGTTATCTTTGGAGTTTAGGAGATAAAAGAAAGCTTTTTAAGATTATCCTTTCCAACTTTTCTTTTTCTTATACACTTTGTTTTCTTCTGCTTAACGAAGTATGCCTCCAAGATCACATGTTTTTGAGTCATTTTGACAAATCCATTAAGAGAATAATAATCCATATCAATGGAGCACTGTTTATTTAATCTGCTTTAAAACTGAGGCCCACATTCCACAATGATGAGTAGCAAATTAAGATAAATGGGATGATGAAACCTATATGCTACACACTCAGTCCTGCAGGAAATGATTGAACTATTGCCTACTTTGGTGTCCAGGGCAGGCTAAGAGGTCTCCATCTAATTTAATTTTTTTTAAAGTGCTAAAATTTGAAGAAATTTTAGTATAGTATTAGTTATCTAATTTTAAATGATTTAGCGACCTTAAATAAATAAAATCTAAAGGTCCTAATCCACCAAAATCCAAACTTGATCTCAAATTTTTTATAAGCATTTGATATCAAATTTTTTGGATTTCCATGTTGAGACTAATCCTAAAAGGCTCGTAAACTGATCCAACAAGTCCACCATCAAATACTTATATATGTTTTTTCTTTTTTTCAAAAGCAGAGGAGCATAGATTAATGACGAAAAGAAATAAAATCCATTGCAATATGTTCAATATATACACACAGATACATATACATATGTGTGTGTTAGCGAGTGTGTGTGAAAAAGGAATCAAGAGGAAGGAATTAAACAAAAAAAGTTACGGTTTGCTTACTGATCAGACAAAGGAATCTGAGCCATGTGTTATCATTTAGGGCTTAAGACTTGCTTCGATTGATGGTGAACTCGAGGAGGTTTGATCGAAAGTGTATCAGTCTTTAATGAACAATACCACAAATATAAATATGCATATATTTCAGATTCATCAACACAAACAGTACCTATTTCAAGAGTTAGAATGTGACTGGAGGCTGAGATGACGGTAAAAAACCTCAATTGTTTCCAACCGTCCAGTTATTGCCGCTACACCAGAAATTAGGAAGAGAAAGGTTAGGGTTTCATAGAGGAACCATTGAGCCTGAGTATTTGATTTCCCTTCAGCAGATCGAAGATTGTTCGTGCCATGGCAGATTGTATCTGTATCGCAGGAAACAAGTGAGGGAGAAAGAGTCGTGAGGGAGGGCTACACCGAATGGAATATGAAAGGCATTAGGGCTTGAAATTAGGAAAGTGTAGAAAAGGGCATTTTAGGCAACACATAAAATAGGAAGAAGGGTATTTTAGGCAACAGAAATATCAAACAGTATTTTTTTCATGTGCCACCTCAGCTTTTGGGTCAAACCCATTTTAAAGAAACTATGGGACTTTGACTCAGTCTCTTAATAAATATGGTACCCTAAGTCCATTTATATGTAATAATCCCAAAAAAAAAAAAGAGGAGAGAGAGAAAGATAGAGAAAGACAAAGAGAGAAAAATAGTCTAGCTGGACAGGACAGGCCACATCGTTTATGTCAAAATAATCGGCAAAATAATCGGCCAGATATTTCATTTTTCTTTTTAAAATGTGGAAAAAGTTGTATTAATTTAAGGCTATGGTTTATGACAGGTGAAAAAAACCCGACCATATATAATACAGAGTATTTACCCGATAAGGTATGATGAGTCAATTTAAGATGATATTAGTCAAACAGAGATAAGATTAGATATCCAAAAGTAAAGCCTCTGCTCCATACTCGTCTTCCCCTCTCACTTTCTCTTTCTCTTTCTCTTTCTCTCACACAAACGTACAGGCGATGTATGTGACACATATAGTCTCAAGTTAATAGAATGTCGCAAAAAGTTGATATAAATTTAAGACTATGGATTATGAGTCAGTGACAGGTGAACCAAACCCGACCTGTATGTTTGATTTTCATTTTTAAACTCTCTCACGCACATACAGATTCAGGGCACGTGCTACCTCTATTATATAATATCTTAACATAATAATCTTGGGTTTAATAATAAATTATGTAGAGACAGTACAGAAAATAAATAATGTTTTTGGTTGACTACCCTTCCAATCAATATTTTAAATGTGGGGAAAAAAACAAAAAAAAAAAACGCATATGGTATATATATCTTGAGGTTGTTAGATTTGTTAGAGAGAACTAGAGCGGTTTTTACGTACCCAAAAAAATAATAAATAAATAACATGTGAGAAGATTGGTCTTTTAGTACTGAGGTAGTAAAAAAAGGGTTAATTTCTAAGCTCTCCTAGGATTTTCATTTTGAACTTGAAAAAATTATGCTTGGCAAATATATATTTTGTTACTTTGAATATTATGAAAATGAAAAGAAAATGGTTACACTTACTTAACTTACTCTTATGACTTCAAATATTAAAAAAATAAATGAATTCGTGTTAGATAAATTTTCTTTAAATCAAAATTATTTATATTCATTTTTAGCAATAAATAAATAAAATAACATGATAAATTATTAAAATATAATAATATAATTAATTATATTTAAAAAGGGCTTCATAATATTTTTAATAGTTAATTTTACAGGCTTAATTCCAAAAAATATATATATATATATACATATACACACACAAACACATTCACCAAAATATTTGAAAAGTTACATATTTAAGGAGACGTATCAAATTATATTAAAGAGCCAATTTCCTTCGGACAACTCTAGGTTTTCATCTTCAAGATTTCTGAGTTCATTTCTTACCATGTACCAACCTTTAATAATACAGAATAAAACAAAACTCCAAAACATATCAAACAATACTAAAACAATAAGTTAAAAATAAAATAAAAATAATAACAACTTTCTTTCGGCAACCAATTTGATACAAAGAAAGGGCCTCGTATGTAGAGTATAAAGATAAGTCATTAAGCCAAAACTAGCCTCTGAATATCCCGCTGCTAGCACCTTTCTTTCGGCAACCAGTTTGATACAAAAATCCCTAAACTCCATCTTCGGCAATAGAATCCACAACCACTGCAACTCCCTTTCTAAGGCCACTCTGCAATGGAAACCCTAAACTCTATATGCGAAGAGAATGTTATCTTGCTCTCTTTTTTATACAATAGCAGAAGAAACTATAGATCAATGATCATCTCTGTGAAGAAAAAGGTTCGCAAATTCTGTGATTTTGTGTGAATTCGAGAATTTTGAAAATGAGTACACAAATTCTCAAAACCGAATTTTCGAATTTATGGCGATTTTGCTCTCAAATTACTAATATGCATGCAGAGTTTTGATTTATCACCTAATTGAACGAAATCATGTGACTTAGGAATTACACACATGATATAATATTTGGTCTTTATTACTTAAACTTTACCTAAAAGTGTCAATTTTTTTTCATACTCTTATCAAATTTAAAAATGATTTAATAAAAAAAAAAAAAAAAAAACTATTAAACCAAGAAGACTATATTGCCCTTTTACTTTTTTTCCCAAAAAAGAAGAAGAAGCGTAATCAACCCTAAAAAAAACTTAATCAAATGTCATTAACAATAATATGTATACTTTTGTAAAATTTAATAATATGAATAGGTATGAAAATTGATACTTTACATTTCATGATATTTTTGTCATTTCATGTCAAAATATAAGGTTACTAAAATCTTTTAACACAAGATAAGGGTAACTTAGTAATTTTTTAAATTTTAATTAACAACAAAAGTGTCGTTGAGTACATTGCCAAATCTTAGGAAATGTCACAATAATAAAAGTCAAACACTCTACATGTGCATAATTTATCCAAACCTCTACTAAGGCCAGTGTAATTTACCCTTTAAAATTCTACAATGTAAAGTATGTGGATAATGGATACGGACAAGAGAGGATAAATATATATCATAGGGGTATAATAGAAAATTAAGTTATAAAAACAAATTTTGCTAGAAAGTAAAAAATTTTAATGTTTTATGCGGGAACTCTTAAAAAAAAAATTCTATTTAATTTTCTTTCCTTTCCTGCTACTTAAGCAATTTTTATGTTAATATCAACCAAATGACATAACTATCCCACTCTTGTCAAATTACGATTTAACCCCTTTTGTAATAAAAGTTAACAGATGTCAAAAGACTAATACGACCTAAGCCATTCTCTTCTCTCACTTGTCCATCTCTCGTCTCCGCCTCTCTTCCTCTCCCATTTTTACGGTTTTCTGTTGCTGTTGGTTGGATTTGGGTTTAGCAAATTGAAACCAAACTAAAAAAAAAACTGTTGGTTTCTTTGAGAATTTGAAGTTTCAAATGATGTTGGTAGATGTAGATTGTGCTGAAAGTGGTTTGTTTCTATTTTTGTGAGCAGTTTCGGGAAATATGAAAAGGATCCACACATATGCACACCAAACATATCCTTATATCACACTTCTGTGTGTGTACAGAGTCATAGACAGACACTACCAACCACATATATCTTTTATGTATCACTATTTGTGTACATATAGACTCACTAATAGAACTTGTGAAGGTTTAAAACGCTTCGATTAGGTAATATATTTTAGCTATCTAATCATTTTCCATATTAGAACGTGCTAGATGTATCTGAACAAATTATTTCTACACGCACCAATACTTTGTCAAATTTTAATAATGCTATTGAATTTTGTTACCATCTATGTGACTCAAGATCAACTGTTTCAATTCAATTGCAATTCCGACAACCAAACACACCCCAATTAATTAAAAGTAAAATCGGAAAGTTTTAATTAAAAATAATCCCGGTTCATGGATGGACATAAAAATGTTACAAGTGAGTTTAACAAGCAACAAATGCAATGAATTAAGGTATAAACACAGTACATTGACTAGTTAAATATGTATACTACTAGTACATTTTTGGAATGAAAAGGCAACTTCTAACTTACAACATAAAAACCAAGCATTGACATGATTTATGCCAGATCAATCCTACGATGTTCTTGGTTGCGATTGGCATCATCAACTTGAGTACTACTTGAAGATCTTCTTTTCAATGGCAACATAATTTTTCCATATAGAAGTGAAGTTATCGGTGGCCATACTTTTTTCCCGCGTCTCCTCAACCACACGGGAATGATGAAGAGAAAAGGAGGAATTATCATGCAACAAGCCAATGCCCATCCTCGACCATCACTTGAACTTTGAGTCCTGATGTGCTTGAACTTACCTGGACTGATCGCCAAAATAGAAACATAATAAGTTGTTGCCACTGAAATAAATGTTGACAACAGGAAGCCAATCAAGAACAACAATGCCAATAGGTTGGTTAAGGAAACTGGGATCACAAGAACAATCATTGCTCCCATAGATGTAAGGAAGCTTATCATGTTAGCACAGTATATGTATCGGTACGACCTTGGAGAGTTATAAGCCATTATAACTTCTCCTGCATTGTGTTCCAATGAGTCGTCTTGCCAAAAACCACCAGGAGGGTTCACCCCAAATTGGAATGTAAGTGTTAAGATTACAGATGGCAAGACAATTAATCCACTCCGAATCTCGGCCATGAACTTCCCCAAATTGAAATGCTCATTTCGCGAACCATTTGGCCTCGCTCTTGATGCTCCAGCTTCATGTAGGGAGTTTTGGATGTCAAAATCCTTCACATCTCTCCGACTTTGTGCTAAAATGTCCAGTGCCATCAATCCATTAGCATTAATGGCATTTACTTCTATTTGGCCACTCGATACCAAATAATTTACTATCTGCACAAATAATTAGTTCAGCTGTATATAGTTTATGGGATTTTTAGTTAATTTGTAATATAAATATGGGCTTACCTCGATTTGTTTATCGCAACAGCTAGATGTAATATGGTGTTGTCATTCTCGTCCTTTGAATTAGAGAACTCGTAATCGTTTATTGTCTCCAACAATAATTTGAGTGCCTCTAATTGATTATGTTGCACACACGCATGCAATATGGTCGCACCCTGCTGGTCCGGTAGTGTTGCTCGAGCTGCATTTGGTCTGGCGTGAACCAACTCCTTTAAGACACCAACTCGGCCTTTGATGGCTGCTAGATGAAGAGGGTTTCTGCCATCTCGATCACGAGCAAGGCACATCCCAGGGTTGACTGATAATAATGTTTTTACTATCTCAACGTGTCCGTTAGCTGATGCCAAGTGAAAAGGGGATGATCCTTGTGAATTTAACTCTCCGTCAAGGTCGGGATTTCGAGCTAGAATTTCTTCCACAAAATGCACATGGCCTACCATTGCTGCCACATGCAAAGGATTTTCGTTCAATGAATTCATGACTGTAACTCTGAAGAACCAATCGATCTTCTCCGAGTAATCCATGCAGTGCTGTTACATTCCCTTCCGCTGCTGCTTCGTAAAGTTTGTGCGCCATATTCTCTCTCCTACAGATATGAGCCAAGTGCGTACCACTGTATTAATACCAGACTATAGAGTCGAAATGCAACTTAATTACGTTTATTTTGAAATTTTACCAATTTATAATTATATAATTTAAAGTTTTTTTTTTTTCTTTTCTTAGAACACGTGTATCGACTTCGTAACACACGCAATATTAAAGTCAGAAATTTGATTCGAAAACGAGACCTCAATAACTTACTTTTCGAATTCCTACCCTTGAAACAAAATGACTTTGTTTAATTAATTACTGAGTGGAGTAGTACTTTTATACCCAAGTGAAAAAACTTGGATAAAAAATTTATGGTCAACATTCTTATTTTTGGTCGAGTTTCTTCCACACTTTCCTTAAGATTATACCAATGCAGGTTCAGTAATTTTATATGGAAATGACATAATTATCCCTACTCATCCTTGTCAAATTAAGATTTAACCCTCTTCTTTTGGACAAGTATATGTCAAAGGACTAATATGCCCTCAGCCACTCTATGCGAAGTCTGTAGTGGTTCCCTTTGCGGAGTCTGTTATGGTTTTGCTTAGAAAGACGAGAGGGAAGAAAAATTAAATAACAGGTATGAAAAAAATAAGTTAAAAAGCCTAAAATAATCTTTCTCTTATTTTATTTTTCTTATATTTTTGTTAAAAGATAATAAGCTAAAAGAAGTACAAAAATATCAATTTATCCAAACTATCAAAGACTAACACCTTAGGGGAGATACTAAAATTTGAACAAAAGCATAAAGAAATTAAAGAAAATCCTCCATGTGGCTACAAATAGAACCAAAGAACCAGAATTGACAACCAAAGTATCTAATTTATCGTACTACAAGGGGCTGATGATAAGCAAGGAATATAATTCCTTGTCATTTTAAAGATTAAAAATCGATAGTATTAAAGCATTAATTAGGTTGCTGGTCTTCATCTTTACACCTCCTGTTGATTCTTGTTGAAATCTTTAAGATTTTAATTAGGCTATGTATGATATGAGAGAGAAAGAAATAAAGATTAAAAATTAAATTGTCATATTAAATCAAATATAATGGAAATCGTGTAGGAATGAACTGATACAAAAATTGAATGATTAGTATTTGATTAAACTAGTTCAAATGTCAATGCAATAAAAAACAAACTGATTTGTTATGAATTTCTCTACTTATAAAATGTTTAATTAATGTAACTTCCGCTGTGTGAGTTAATATAAAGCCTTGTTCAATCCTGGACTGAGCTGATGTTCATGCATGTGGTGGATCTGGTGGTGGCAATCTTGTAAATTCGTGACAAAGATCGAGAAAGAGTGGCTTTTTTTAAGACTGTATAAGAACATTCAGCACGAAACCGAGTAAGCAAAACAAGATATTCAAGCATCTCAAACTAGGACCTCTCACTTGGTTCAAGCTTTATTAGTTTTGGCCCAAGTTCAATGGACTTTTAAAACGCTTACTTTAATTAGAAGTCCATTTCATAGATGTCACCAAACACCTTTTTTTTTTGTTTTTTTTTTTTTTTCAATTTGATTTGTTTGAGATTAGAAGTCCGTTTGGAAGTTCCAAACAGCTCCCCAAACAGGCCCATAATCTTTTTGCCATTGATTTTTTTTTATTTTTTATATTTTTCTACGATGAGATGGATATTCCTTACATTTGATTGGAATGTAATGATAATAAAAATAAATAAATGTGGAAATGGACTTCCTAATAGAATCTCCCTTTTAACAACTAAATGATGAAAAGGGGTAGTTTGCAAATATATATATATATATATATATATATATATATATATATAGTTCATGAGTTCTACGAAATATTCAGAATAATTACAGAAGTTATTTTTGGTTCCATGGAATTGGAGAAATTTTTTTTTCAATTTTCTTGAATTTTAAAACTCTAATTCCTTGGGCCATAGGTCCATCCCTGCATGCGGTGGCAATGTGTCGTTGTTCGCAATCTTCCACCAAAATGGTAGCACAAGAAAAAGAAGAGGAGGAATTATGACGGCAGAATACAATGCCCATAATCAACCATTATTTGAACTTACAACTCGGACTCTGGATTTCTTGTTTGAACTTGCGTGGAGAGATTGCAATAAAAGAGACATAATAAGTGAATGTCACTGAAAAAAAAATGTTGAGAAAATGCGGCCAACCAATGGTATAATGACAAACTGATTCTTTAAGGGAATTGGAAGTAAGAGAACCAGCATTGATATGAAAGATGTAGCGAAGCTTAGAGCAAGTCCAATGTAAATTACAGAGATTTTGGGCCCAATTTAGTGATTCAAGAAGTCCAATGGAGTCTCTAATTGGTGGGCCCGAAAATTTGAATCACATAATGGGTCACCAAAAATGACGACCCAGTTGGTGATTGCGGGCCGACCTTGTGTGGGCCTGCCTTCTTTTTTTATAATTATTTTAAGCCCAAAGACCAGAATTGCGTTAAGGGCATGTTTGGTTGGAAAAAATATTCAAAAAACCTGTTTTTTGGGTTTTTTTGGCCTTTTTTTTGTTTCTTCTTTGTTTTTCTTTTTTTCCCCTTAACACAATTGAACAAAAGAGCTGTTAAGGCACTGTTTGACTCAAACAGTGCCTTAAAACCTTTTTGGACAAAAAAAAGTGTTAAAAAAGAAGAAGAGAAAAGTGCTTTTAAAATAGAAAAAAAATATATTGTATATGATTGTTCTTTGAAAAAAAGGATAAAAGTGTCATATGATTTTTATTTTTTCATAGTTGATTTTAATAATAGTATTGTTTATTTTATTTTTTTTTTTAAATCATATAGTATTGTATTGTTTTAATTTATCTGATCCATAATAAATATTGTATTATTTAATGGTTTTTGCATGATATAGCCATTATAACAGCTAGCAAAAAGTTTTTTTTTTAAAAAAAATACAATTTATTAAAAATATTAAAAATATTTTAATTTTGGAGAGCGAAGACGCAACATTGGAGCACCTGCAGTAGCTAAAATTTAGAGAGTCCAAAACGTTGACGGGGCTCTTGAAAATGCTGACGGGGCTATTGAAAAATGCTGACGTGACAAATTTGAAGGCCTAAATTTTAAAGATGTCATTGGAGATACTCTTAGGACAATAGCGTTATAAATGAATCGGTATTCACGTTGAGAGGTATAAGCCATTATAGCTTCTCCTGCCTTGTGTGGAATTGTCACAGGATTACCTTCAGAATCAACCACTAAGGCTGTGTTTAGTAACGAGAAACGTTTCTTATTTTCTATTGTCAACCTTTAAAAAGGCAAAACGAAAACAAAAATCGCATTCAATAAAATGTTTTTGTTTTTCTATAACATAAAATGTTTTCAATTTTTGTGAAGAAAAGAGGAAACATCAAAATGATGTTTCTTATGTTTTCGGCACTGTAGCGCAGAAAGTTTTCACTAATGTTATTACACATGCACTATTCATTTCAAATAAAATTCGTATTACTTGTGTTATATAATAAGTTGCATATTAAATGTTAATAAAAATATATATTTTTAATATAGAATATATTAAATATTGTATAGTATTTTTTATTTGATAAAAATATATTTTAATATATAATATATTAAATAATAATGTAAATTATTTTTCGTGACAAAATAATTTTTGATATAGAATATAATGTTATTAAATTATTAAGCAATAGATATTTTATATTATTATATATCATATCTATATTATATTATATGTAAATATTAAATTATAATTAATTTACAATATTATAACACAATATATATTTTGTTACATATAAGATATATTATTTAATATTTTTTTTATTCATAATAAATTATCATATGCTAAATATATTATATATTACATAATAAATGTATACATCATGCATATACATGTATTTATATACATAATTGGTGGGAATGTTTTTGTCTTGGTATATCTAATTTTGTACTTTTGATGTATTGGGTATTTTTAAGATTTATAATTTTAAATTAGATTTTTTAGATTTATGACTTTTTGATATTAATGGAAGTAAGTGTCGTGTCTGCGTGGTTGGGTTGCTCCCTGTGTCCGAGAGTGCGTGGTTGGGTTGCTCCCTGTGTCTAAGAATTCATATTCAAGTCATCTACCATCCCCCCTCACCCTCCCTCTAATCACTAACTCCTAAAATTCTTGCCATGAAAAAAATAAAAAATAAATTAAAAAATTTAAAGAATATTATTTACATTTTGTAACAAATATTTTGTATTACTAAATACAGTTATTGTTTTATGTTTTCAAATTTGTGGCAATAACAAATATTAATAAACGTCATTTCTGTTTTCTATTTTCACTCAAGAAAACAAAATCATGTTTCTGCTTTCTTAAGACTGCAAAAACATAAAACGAAAACGTTACTAAATGCATCCTAAGATGTCTTGCCAAAAACCACCCGGTGGGTGCACGCCAAATTGGAATGTCAATGTTAAGATGACCAATGCCACCATCATTAATGCACTCCGCATCTCTGCCAAAAAACCCCCAGACGATTACCCTTATATCTCTAGCTTATACTGCTCCAACTACTCGAAGGGAGCTTCCAATCTCAGATTTGCCTAAAATGTCTAGTGCAATCGATCTATTACCATTAATGGCATTTACATCTATTTTGGGGACAGTAATAGACAATAAGTAGTTTATCGTCTGCACAAATAATTTGTTTAAGTACAATTTATGAAAATAAGTTTGAAAAATGATTCACAAATAATATTCGAAAGAGAAACTGAACAAACTTCGATCCATTTCAGTGAGACCCTTTTGGACTCATTTAACCACATTTACGAGGAGACTTGTTTCGCTCTCTTTTCATTACTCTCAAGTTTTTGTTTTTCTTTGAAAACTATTCGAGCGTGCTTAGTTTGTCACTCAAAAAATAATAAGTTATTTTCAGAAAATTATAAAAGACATACAAGAAATCACCAAAGTTGAAATTTTTT